ATGGGAGCAAATGTCACAAGTTCTTTGTGGCTCCAGCGGTTGGCCATTGCCTCAGGCCTGCTGTATGGCTGTCATTAAGACTTTTAACCTAAGCTCAAGCCTGTCTCCCACATTGACTGGTTTGGTCGCACACAGCCAACCACGGTTGCTGTAGGTCTTAATCCAGAAGACAGTTTTGCAGCACTCCTCCCTGAGCTCTGGCTCTTAAAATCTTCCTAACCCTTCTTCCAGGATATTTCCGGAGCCCTTTGGGGAGGTGTGATACAGTTACAGTGGAGCACACCACAGACACTTATTCTCTGCACTTTGACCAGCTGCACCATCCACTGCAAAAAAAGGACTAAGGGCTGCCTGGTCTGCCAATGCTGGGATCTAGGGGGACCATAGAAGTGTGGGAAAATAGTTTTGGGGTTTGAGACAGTGTCTCACTATGTAGGCCGGGCTAGCCTGGAACTCACTCTGTAGACCAGGCTGGCCTTGAACTCTCAGATTTCCCTGCAATAGCCTCCTGAGTGCTGGCATTCACCCCTACACCCAGCAGAAAAATAGTTTCATTTGAAAATAGGGAAAGAATGAATTTTAATCCCTGTAATATGGAAATTAGCAAATGGAAAAATACAAAGCCACCTAATTAAGGGTACTTTTAGTTATATCTTATTATGTACTTTCCAATCATCCCAAATACAAGGAAGTTGTGGCCTCCAGCTTTTATGTAAGATCTGGCATTAAGCTATTAGACCTTTGAATTTTTGATGTCTCTCAATGACTGTCAACAGAACTGGGGGGAGGGGGACAGGGGGTGCCTATGTTTTCTAGGCTGGTCTCTTCACTCCTGGGATCAAGTGATCCTCTGCCTCAGCTCCAGGTACCTGGGCCTACAGAAGCACCCTGCTACTCCTGGCTAGTTAATGCAGCTTTGGGTAAAAGCAGAAAGAAATTTCTGAATAGCAACCAGGAAATAAAGGCAAGAAAGGGCTCTCCTTTCTGTTAACACAAGAGCTAGTTTTTTTAGTTTTCCTATTTGGGGTTTATTATTTTGTGTGTGTGGTGTGTGTGGTTTATGTCTGTGGTATATGTGCACGTGTGTATGCAGATACATGCACACACACGGAGAGCAGTCAGAGCTAATTTCCTGCTCTGTCACTCTCTGTCTATTCCCTTGAGGCAGGGTCTTTCACAGAACCGAGACCTAGGCTGGCGGGCAGTGAGCCCCAGCGGGCCTCGTCTCCACTCTGCCTAGTTAATGGGGTTACAGACACATGTGTGGCCATGTCCAGTTGTTTTCATTTTATGTGTGTGAAGTATTGCCTGCATGTGTGTAAGTGCACCTGTGCCATGCAATGCCCATGGAGGTCAGAAGAGGGTGTCAAATCCCTTGGAACTGGAGTTACAGGTGGTTGTTAGCCACCATGTGGGTGCTGGGAATTGAACCCAGGTCTTCTGCAAGAGCAGCCAGTGCTCTTAACCACTGAGCCATCCCTGCAGCCCTATACCCAGGTTTTTATGTGGGAGTTGGGGAGTTGTGCAGTACCAGTCATATCTCCTGAAGTCCCTGTAAGTGGAGTTGCTTTAAAGTAAAAACACTCGAAAGACTTTTTCAGGGAAGAAAACCTAGTGGTATTGGTTAATAAAAATCACCAGGACAAAGGTTTTTTGTTTTGATTTTTTAAAATCCAATTTTGTAATTTTATGTAATGTAGAAAGTAAAGTTTTCTAAGCACACACTTGTTCAACTCAGATCCAGCAGAGATGGAGGTCAACCCATGGTCCAGGCCTCCTGGTATGAGACGGTCACTGTATGTAGACCCACAAGAGAAGCTAAGGCAAAATGAAAACAAAGAAAGAGGCAATACACTGTTGTTTTTTGAGCCAAGGTATCATGTAGTGGAGGCTGGCCTTGAACTCCTGACCCTCCTGCCTTCATCTCCCAAGTGCTAGAATTAGAGGTATACAGTAACACAACCAAAAAGACAATTAAAATCTTTTCTTTTGTGTATAATGAATGAGTCATTTTTACCTCCACTATCTTCTCATCCCCCCTTCTGCTGAAACCCTTCTTCCCAAGAAGCCCCTCCTCCTCACCATGCCTTTTCCTATGTGTTTAACTAGCGTTGCTTGCATGAGCATGGAAAAATTATTTGCTGGAGCATGGGCAACATTTCAGAGGAAAATAGCATCCCCCTCCCCCAGCAACCATTAACTGTCGATAGTCACCAGGGAGGGATGGAACCTCATAAGCTCCTCCCACATTTGTGATGAACCACTGACAGGCTCAATCAAGTGCTGGTCTTGTGCAGGTAGCCACAGCTGCAGGGAACCTGAGTGCAAAGGCCACATCACGTCATAAGACATCTTTTTGAGGCACACAGCTCTTTGGCTCTTTCTGCCACTTCTTCCCAATGTCCCAGAACCATGGATGGGCTGCTATAGACGATGACCCGTTGACCATCACTTATTCTTGGCACTCTGACCTGCTGTGAGTCTTTGCATTAACTACCACCCATAGCAATAACAAACTTCTCAAGGAAGGCTGAGCACAACTCTAGACTGTAGGTCTAAACGTGAGTACTTAGAAGGCAGTTTGGAGGTTCCCCACTAGGAAAAGGCAGTCATTTTTAAAAAAAATATTTTGTTAATTTTATTTTCTGTGTTTGAGTGTACTGTCTGCATGTATATAGGTGTACCTGTATCATGCAATGCCCATAAACATCAGAAGAGGATGTCAGATCCCCTGGAACTGGAGTTAGGGATGGTTGTTAGTTGCCATATGGGCGCTGGGAATTGAACCTGGGTTCTAGTGCCGAGTCATCTCTCCAGCCCTACAATTATTTTTTTCAATATTTAGTTTTATGTGCATGAGTGTATTGCTTGCCTGCATGTGTGTAAGTGCACCTGTGTTGTACAATGCCCGTGGAGGTCAGAAGAGGGTGTTGGATTCCTTGGAACTGGAGTTACGGACAGTTGTTGGCTGCCACATAGGTGCTGGGAACTGAACTCAAGTCTGCTACACGAGTAGCCAGCGCTCTTAACCATGAGCCGTCTCTCCAGCCCCAGAGGCAATTTTTTTTGTTGTTTCTTTGAGGCAGGGTCTCCCTACAGGCCCAGCTGCCCTGGAACTTGCTATGTAGACCAGGCTGGCTTTGAACTCACAGAGATCTGCCTACTTCTACCTCCCAAGTGCTGGAATTAAAGGCCTGCACCACCAGGCCCGACCCAAAGGCAATTATTTTTAACTGCATATCGTTAGCTTGATTTTGAGTCAAATTCATTTTAAGTCTTTTAAAACGGGAAACTATATCTATGAATAAGCTTTTAGGCAAAAATCACACATCCATAAAATACAGCTACTTATTTGTAGGAAGCATGAGAATGTTTAAGAAGACTGAAGCCATACAAACATTAGTAATAATGAGGTGTCTGTTACCCAGGACAGAAAGGACCATTGGTTGGAATGCCAATTATCTCAAGGAGGGGAGCTCACGGGCAAATGTGACAGCAAGTGCCATGTAGGTTTCCTTCGCCTCCTGCAGCTGGTACGAACAAGGAAACGGACTATGCGAGCAGCAGGACTTTTAATGAGAAAATCTCAATCTTCTAAAAACTAACAGGCAGACCCTAATAAAAAAAACCAGAACCTCGAGAGTATACTGCATGCCTGGCAAGTAGTTCTTTTCCTTAAAAGTACTGAACATGCTGCTCAGAGGGTACAGAAACCACAGTATGAACCAAACGTCAAGGCTGGTATTCTAGAGCAAACCACTGCTCTGAGCAGTTATGCTGCTGCTCCAGGAAGCCCTCCACGAGTCATCTGAAAGAACAGAGACCTGAGAACCTGTGATGAAAAATATATCTGGGAGGGTGAGAAAGCAGAGCTCGCGGTAAGCTCGGGAAAGGAGAGAGGAGCGCCCAGAGGGTACCAGGCAGCAGTCCGTATGTCTGACCAAGTCATCTCAGCCATGTTCAGGGTAAAGACCCTAGTCAGGTTCTCAAGCGTCTCAGGAAGCTAAAGTGCCAGCCTTGTTGCTAACCTGCCCAACATACCAGTACAACACACATCTTCCTCCTCCTCCCTGAGGTCTCACTTCCAGATGGTACTGACGGTGGAGGCGTGAACTGCCCGATCTTTAAGCTGTCAGTCAACTTACATTAAAAAAAAAAAAAAAGCAGCAGACCAAGAAGGCGGCAGTGGTTCCCAAGGAGTCCAACAGAGAGGAAAGCCTGGTTCCATCACTGTTCGTTGTGCTCAGAGGCCAGCTCATGAAGACAGAGGGAAAATGCAGCAGGGGTTGACAATAACTAGACACAAGGAACAAAAGACACCTGAGATCATTGATGGTGTTTTTGCAGACTGAATATTCCAGAACTTCAAGTGGTTGATTAGTATTTCAAGTTTTAAGTTCAAAGGAAATTCAACACATTTCATACTGATGCCCTTGTCCTTCACTTAGTGACAAGTGTTTGAGCTTCACCAAGGCAGCAGGCACCGAGACCGGAAACTCCGAGTTCCCCAGAGCTGTCATAGACCATCAAAAGGGAAGGTTTGCAAGAGGCCTGCTCTTGGACTGGGGGTGAAGGGTTTGTTTTTTGTTTTGAGGTACATTTCAGTGTCCCTCCACAGCCCCATTCCCCACCCCCATCCTCAGTCATCCACCCTCCTGCCCCCACATTCCATGTCTTCTGCAACTAGTCTGACGCCAGCCCACCTGACCAATAAGCATGTCCTACATGCAGCCTAGATGACTCCCCTGGTAACAGGTCTTTATGGGAAGCACATGTAATTTTGAGAACAGGTTTTGTTTTTTAAGTAAAATAAACAAGCTCTTTAAACACACACACATTTTCCTTATACAGTTTCACATGAAGCTGTCTTAAGAATTCATGGATCTGAAGTTTCTTATTCGTCCCAAGGTGACTAGTCATAAATACGAAGTTAGTCGGATAACCCACACATTTCGTACCAGGTTCATTTTACCTGAGAGTTGAACCAAACAAAATGGGAATTAAGTGAGAATGAATTCTGAGTTTATTCTCAAGTCCTTACAGTGTTCAACCAGTTGGACATGTAAAGAAAGCAGACGTAACAGTAAACATCAGGAGGCACACTGCCCGTTCTGAGGGGGACATGTTACATGTTACATGTCACAGGAGGCACACTGCCCGTTCTGAGGGGAGACATGTTACACACACAGGAAGAAATGCAGCAGACATTAAGGTACTCCAAGCAATTGTGGGCATTTCAGATGTGACGTATTTACAAGAGAAGTATAAGTTTTAAAATAATTAAATAATTTTGGTAGGCTTAAAAAGAATTGAGATAAATATCAGGAAAACCCGATGATCACAAGAACATATTCCTATGCTCTGAATAAGGGTAGTTCTATAAAAAGTCCAAAATAGAGCTAGTATTTGCCTCCGTGAAATGTATCAAATCACTAATATCAAACTATGCTTGAGTGGACGTGCACTGTGGAGGCCGTGCGAAGAAAGCAGCGCCAGGCGCGTCAACACCGCAGCATCCAAGCAGGCTCCGAGGCGCGCTCATGGAGAGGAACTTCCAAAAGAGCCTTCACATGGTACGACAGCAGAGAAGGGGTGACATCCAAACACCTCGTCAGCCTATCGTCTCCAAATGTAGGTGCGAAAGGGACCGATCTAAATAGAGCTCTAAAAATATTAGCTTATGAATAAAAAGGGTGAGTGGTGCATTCCTGGGCACAAGGGTGTTTAAACTGATAGTGGGGAATTCTAGTACATCTTACCATCGGGACCCCACCACTGTAGCAAACTTTCTCTCTCTCTCTCTCTCTCTCTCTCAGTTGATTGTATGACTCCAAAACAAAAGACGGACACTTAGAGCAGCAGCATGTGACAGTTTCTTAAAGCGAATGTTTAAGACTGGGCCCAAAACAGAACTTGCTCAAGCCAGTCTGTTACTCAACACCTGCAACTAAGGATTCTTCAGAGAGGTGCTTATATTTATGATATTCCCATGGTTAAATGCATACTCAAATCTGATTTTTAAAATATAAATATTGCACAGGTAGTATAATACCAGCATTTTGGTATCTCTTAACATAAAATGCTATCTCAGTTAACACATCAAACTATCTACTGAACATTAATTTTATTCAAACATTTAAAGCCAATCATGTAGGACCTTGGAGCACATTCCTAATGAGATAAGAAGACACAGGCACTTGCATGTAAATTATTAATGATGCAAAGGTAGAGGCCACAACAATTTCAAGACTAAGGGCAGCAATGACTTCACTGAGGCCTTTTACTGATTCAAATTCAGAAATAAGCTCTAGTTACAAAACTTTGATTAAAAATTCAGATTGTCCCAAAATTTATGACTAATTTTCACTGAAATGAAATACTGACAGGTGCAAGTCCTAAGCTTTTCCAAACAACTGTTTCAGGTGGGGTACTGGTGACACACACCTGTAATTCCAGCACTTGGGAGGCAGAGGCAGGAGGCTCACCACAAGTTCAAGGGCAGCTTGGCTTACATATTAAGATCTAGGGTCACATAATGACACCCTGTCACAAAAGCACCCCCAACAGAAAAATCTCAAGATATAGCTGCCTGGGTTCCAATTTTCTCCCTTTCCCTGTCTCTGTATAACCCACCACCCTCACCCACAGTATAATCAAGTTCTACGCAAAACTGACCACTCATCTTGAGATTCAGGGTATCAAAAATGGTTAGAATTTCAAAATAGTCCACATTGCAATATAAATTTTACAGCACCACAGACATAATGAATTTAGGAATTCTTGTCTGGCAATGTTCCATTTGATAATGTTAACCAATAAGAATGTGTAAATATTGAACATTTAACAGGAAGTCATACTAGCATTTTTTAAATGACTAAAATAATAATAATTTTTAATGTTTTAAAATGTTAAATATTTAACCTCTCAAAGTCATTAAGGAAAAAAGAAAATATCACATAAGTTTTATCCCCAAACACATAAAGCTTCAGACAGCTGATATGGACATGGCTAGGTTTTTCTTCTTTTCTTAAAGACCTTATGTTGTGTTGGCCACTCCCTAGATTCCTGGTTTGCCAGCTTACAGAGTACCCCTAAGAGGCAGCATAAAATATGCACTAAACCATTTCACCTTTATCATCTTTGGCTTGGAGCCCCAGGAAAGACACTAGGATGGGTGGGCAGGCAGCCTGCAATCTTCCGCCTTACACATCACTGACAGGAAGGCTCACATCATCCAAGTCCACTGGCTCACCATCTTTTTCCTGAGGGCCATTTTTACTTTGAGGTTTGAGCAGAGCTTGTTCAGTCACTTTGGAAGCTGGTTCTCTTGGAGAGACAGTCTGGACCTTGAAGTTCCCTGGCTTGACCTTGGCAAGAGATTCGTAAAATCCTCGCTTCTCCACGGTAAAGCTTGAGACCAGAGAGTGGCTGCGAGAGGCTGTGGAATGTGAGGTGGCGGCTGCTGCGCCGGCAGGACGGGCAGTGCATTTGGGTTCTGAAGAGCAGCTGGAATGCTCCTGGAAAGAGGAGAGGCGGTCAGATCCAGCCAATCGTCAACAACACGGTTAGTTGTCAGTGTGAGACTTGATTCTCTGAAAAACACACACACACACACACACACACACACACACACAAAGCAGAAGCACAGGCCATGCAGCACAATGCGCAAGCTCCTTCCCAAAGCATTGCATTTTAGGGGGTGAGTTCAAAGCAATGTCAGACAACAACCACTTCCACCCAGGAACTACTTCTGTCACCAAAGCAGAATTTGGCAGCTTATGGCACTTTGGAGACCTAGCCAGCCTAAAAAGGGATACAGTGTTCCAACTGCAACCGAAATGTGCTGAAAAGGAGCCTACCAGTTTTTATTTAAGAGCAATAGGACTATCTCACGTACTTAGAGAATTTTTTTTTTTTAATATGTAGAACATAAAAATGAAAGGCCATAGAGTAATAAGCAAGAATCAGGATTTTTTAGACACGATTCTGTCTAGTAGCCTGACGACACTCAGTGTTTGCCTCCCTTGATTTCACCGTGGCCAGTAGCAGTCTTCTGTATGACTTCATTTAGTGTACGTCATAGTCACACGTTTTAAGATTTTAAAGGCAGAAAGGGTACAATTTAGTCATTTTTAAAACTTTGATGAAGATCAGTTAAGAATACTGATTTTCTTAGGAGCATGAAGATGCCTCTGCAGATGCCATTGTAAGCGCAGTGTGCTATAAATGCTCTGTGGGCTGCACATGCTGGTTGATGGTGCTAGTGGCTCTGAAAACAAAGTGCCACAAATCACCAAAACAATACGGATTCCTATTACATGGCTATACTTCACCAGATATAAAATGCCATGCAAGTTATGGAAACAGAGCTTATCCAGTGTATATGCATGCATAAATTTGCATATATCAGAACAAAGGTACATTTCAAGTGTTGTATTTTTTAAAACTCAAAATATATAAAATATGGAAATTGAAACTCTTGAAGCAATTCAGTAAGTTAGTTTCAGGAGCTTTAGATGCTTTCCATTAGTACAGCTGTTTTTTACCATTTTTTAAAACGATACATACTCAACCTGACGACTATGGTAAAATAGTTTGCGTTAGTGTTGACAAAATCAGTTACAACAACTGCGAAGGGCAGTTTGGTTGACTCAACTTTCTATGAGCAGCTGTGGGGTAAGCCGGGCCCTCTACTAAGAAGGCGCGCTTGCGTGCGAGCCACATACGTGCCGCATTCACCAGTTCTTGATGTATACCTCTGTATACAAGGGTTCGACAGCCTTCTGGCCTGCCGCATCTGGAACACAGTGCAAAGCTAAGATTAGAGTTAACCTATATTGGGAGAGGGAGGAAAAGAGAAAGTTCTGCTGACAGTCAGAGCTAGGTAGTCCAATCTGCCCCCACCACAAAGCACAAAACACAAACACCCTTCTCCAATGTTTCCTCTTCCCAACAGACATTGTTTTTGCAGAGAATCTCATAGCTGACTGTTGAAAAGTCACATAAAATGCAGGCAGTTACAAAACTAACACCGTGAAAATGATTTCTTAGATATTCCTAAAAGGATACTAGGACAATTATAAACAATTGAGACACAAGAAAGATGGATTACTATTTACTGATCTGCTGTTGCCACTAGCAAAAAACTATTACAAGACACAGTAATACTACCAGGAAAAAATACTGCAAGTACAGAATGCACAGATACACAGTAAGTCCACATAGTAAAGGGCGCACTGTGGCACGCCGGGCTACTTCCTACATGACAGTGCTGTATTTTAAGATACAATTTCTCAGTATGGTTTGCATTTTCAGATCAGATAAGTGGCCAAAGTATTCCAAAGCAAAAATCTTTCTTAGGGTTGAACAAGTAAGTACTTGCTCTTATTTGAACAAGTACTTGAACCACAAAGATAATAAAGTTTTATGTTAACCTGCTAGAAAATTAAAACAAAAACATGAAATAGAAAAAAACTGAATGGGAACACTAAACTGAACTTGTGACTCTAGCTTGGTCAGTGGCCTTCAGGCACTAGGTAAGCCAAAAGAAACCTTAACTCAAACCAGGAAAGTACAGGAGAAACTAAGTGTCACAAAACTGTGATGCTACCACTCAAAGTGCCTTAACAATCAGGCCACATGCCACAGTGAGTGTCCCTCTGTCTAACCTCAGTCTAAGACTGCAACTGCTGAAACAAAAGGAGTGTCTGTCCTTTAGTCTCTCTGCTTATGCACTTAACACAGTACAATGCACAGCAAGTTGTGTGCATGTGACGCTACAGGGCAGCATTATATTAGAATGCATTACTGTTCGCAAATTCAATTGGTATGAAAGTCAACATGCAAATAATCTTAACAAAGAAAAGAACCAGAAGGATTAGGGGAGAAGAAAAACAGCTCCAAAGGACAGGTCACAGGAGTATAATCAGAGTGGGAACCTACTGAGGACGCTGATCTGCCAGGCCCCCGCTGTGCCACAATGGCGCCAGAGACTGCTTTAATCCAGCTGTGCATCTCTTCTGGGCTATCCGCCTAGAGGGAAGAAAAAGCTCCTTCAGTCAGATTGTCCTCAAAATCACCTTCTATCTCTACAAATCTAACGTATTTATTTTAGTAATACAACGTCACCAGCAAAAACATTCTAAGGCAACAGTTTCAAAAAATTTTCTGGAAGCATTTGCGACTATGTGGTCTTGGGAAACTGAACTGAGGGTCGGACACAGGCCAGGCAGACACTGAACTGAGGGTCGCACACAGGCCAGGCAGACACTGAACTGAGGGTCGCACACAGGCCAGGCAAACACTGAACTGAACTGAGGGTTGTACACAGGCCAGGCAGACACTGAACTGAGGGTCGCACACAGGCCAGGCAGACACTGAACTGAGGGTCGCACACAGGCCAGGTAAATGCTCTACCTACCACGACCTTCCATTTCTTTACCTATTTATTTATTTTGTTTTGTTTTTCCTGTAGCCCCAGCTGGTCTGGAACTTGCTATGGAGTGCAGACTGGCCTCAGTCTTCTAGATCCACCTGCCTCTGACTCCAGAGCGCTGGAATCAAAGGTGTGTACAACCATGTCCAGCTCTCCCCTTTATTTTAAAATTTGTGTTTTAGTTTTTTTTTAAAAAAAATATTTTTATTCTATGTGTACAAGTGTATTGCCTGCATACAGGTAGGTGCACCTGCATTGTACCACCATATACACAGAGGTCAGAAGAGGGTGTTGGATACCCTGGAACTGGAGTTATGGATGGATAGTAGCTGTCATGTGGGTACTGGGAATCAAAACGAAGTCCTCTGCAAGAGCAGCCAGTGTTAACCTCTGAGCCACCTCTCCAGCCTCGGTGTTTTAGTTTTGAGACAGAGTAAGTTGCTCAGGCTGGTCTTGAACGCACTGTTTAGTCCAGGTGGACTTTGAATGTGCAGACTTCCTGCCTCAGCCTTGCAGTCAACAGGGATGACAGGCACATGTCACAAGGCCCAGCTTTAGAAGTTCTGTTCTCAACCCAGGTTCTGCTGAGTAAGGTGCTATCTGAAGATCTAGGTTAGCCACCGAACGTTCTCAAATCAGACACAACAAAGTGTTAACAACAAATGCTTCTGCAAAGAAAATAAGAGGAAGAAGCCACTGAGAGCCCTGCCTGCTGTGCTGTCAAATGCTGCACTTTTTAAATCTGCTACAGGCATAGTAACTGTGCCACTTTAAAACCATCCAGGAGCCGGGCGTGGTGGTGCATGCCTCTAGTCCCACCAGGACCTAATCCCAGCAGAGGCAGGTGGATCCCTGTGAGTTCAAGGCCAGCTTGGTCTACATAGTGAGTTCTAGGCCAGCTGGGGCTACAAGAAGATCTTGTCTCAAAAAACAACAACAACAACAACAAAAAAAACCTCACAAAACATCCTGGCATCATCTTACATATTATTTTCTAGAAATAATTTCTTATGGGACATTGAAGACGTGTTGGGAGTCATATTCCAAAGTAGTAATATTCTTTGATAAGCTTCCAATGTGAATTTAAAACCTTAATAAGAAATGAATGTAAACAAGGCCTAAGATGGGAGCCAGCAAACATCTTACTTCTAGATCTGTAACTCTAGAATCCCTTACTCTTCTTGAGAAGTAGACCTAAAACTAGATTCCAGAATCTAGAATTTGAAGTTCAAAGATACACAATGTCTTGAACTGATATGACTGAGCGCTTTTCAGAGTAAAACTCACAGCAAGCAGAGAAGAGACACACTTCCACTCAGTGCTAGCAAGAACACTCATAGAAATTAGTCGGAAAAACTGACTATGTTCTGACGGCTAAATCTCATCTAGAAACTAAAGAAATAAAAAATTCAGGTAAATTTGTGTACGCAGATGTTCACCACAGTAAGTATGTGAAAACTTGGTAAATGCGCACTCAGCCACAGAAAAGCAGCAACTTCACATGGATCACGTGGAGCACCCACACAGAAGAGAGCAGTGCAATTGTTTCCAGGGAACTAATGACCATACACGAAAACAAACAAGACATTACTACATTTAGCGTGACCTTGCCTGTTATAAGAATGGCAACAAAGTCTAAGAATGTAGGATCACATGTATTTTATAAGCTACATTTTCTTAACATTTCTTCAATACGCAAATAATTTTCACAAAGTATAAACAAATGCTCTTTCTAATAGTTTCTTTTTATATAATTGAGTAGTTACATTTTAGAGTTAAACATAGGATGCATACTAATAGCAAAACTGTAAGACAGTATTCTAATTTTTATTATAGGTACTTGAGACTTCATAAAATGACCAAAAACTATATTAAAGAAAAATATGAAAAGATAATACATTTGAGTGCACACTGCTAAAATCCAAGTTAGAACAGCACGTTCATATGTGACTCTGTTCCATTTCTGAGCATATGCCCTACCAATAATCTGTTTCCTGACATCCTCTTACTAAGTTGGTGAATTGCATTTGTCAATAGTAACAAGTTTTATTTACATTCCACCTCTAAAAGTCACTAATTCTTGTGAGAGAATCTATAACCTACAAGTGTCTTACCTGCACATAGAAAGTTCGAGATGTTGTTACAATTTCAAACAGGTTGTCCCTCATCATTATGTCGCTGTGGAGAAGAAAATCACCAGTTGTAATAAGTAGCTCTAAGAGGTTTTGTTCATTTGTTTACTCAGTACAAAGTATGTGTCAACAAATAAATGTTAAGAGGTAAAACATTAACGAAACCGGACTATCCTTTCCCATTTTTGCATTAAAATTCATATGCTTTAATACAGTTTTAGAAAAGGTTCAAAGTTTTTAACTGTTAAGATTGAGTTTATTCAACTCAAAACTGGCACAGCTAAAGGATTTTCTTGTCATACCCTGGTCTGCAGCACTTGTGAAGTACTAAAACAAGTATCAAATGTGCCATATCTGAGAAATTGTTCACGCTGCTTCTTTTCTATTAATAAGCTACTTCTGAGCTTTCATTTTCAAGTAAGTAAAAAGATTGTTTCTTAATTTTCAGTTTTCAAATAAAATAGTTCAGTACTTTATGGATTTAAAAAACTGCAGCACATCGTGCAGCAACAGAGTCAAAAGTAACACCAGAACTAATAATAGAAAATACCATCTGTGAGCCCATGACAATGAACTGTCCTATACTAATAAGCTATGCCAGCATCAAGTCAGAGCAGCTCCTTACCTTTGCTTACATTCTTGGACTTTATGAACCTCTTTAAGTGGTATTACCCGAAGAGGTTCCTTTTCCTGGCAAAAAAGCAAACACAGGACATTTCTTCTTAAAATCTTTCAAGGGTTAGCTGTCTGACTCAGAGATTATGTGAAAAGTGTGCTTTGCTGAGACACGTGCCACCTTCTCAAGCACCCAACAGCTCCAGTTCTCTGCCCTCATGTGCTTGCTACTTCTGGTCTTATTAAAAGTCACTAAGCAGCAGTCTTGGTGGTGGACGGACCTGTGGACCAGCAAGTACGGTACCTTCTCTTTCGGAATGTCACCCTGATGTAGAGGGCACTGGGCAGTAAACACAGTTTTGCTTTAGCCCTGTACACGTGTATCTGAATATAATCAGCAAGTACGGTACCTTCTCTTTCGGAATGTCACCCTGATGTAGAGGGCAGTAAACACAGTTTTGCTTTAGCCCTGTACACGTGTATCTGAATATATATGTGAATTTATACATTTCTGCTGAAATGCCTACAGACACCTGTACTGCTCGGATTTTAGTGTTTGACTGAATCAATGTATTTTATAGAACCATGGCGCAGTTATGGAACCAGAAACTCAACACTGATGAAATATAATTACCTAATCTACAGGCCATATTCAGATTGTATTGATTATTCACTGAGTACCCATTATAGCAGAAGAAAAGCTGATCTATTTTCTGCCCAGGGCTCAGTCTGAATGAGACGGTGTTTTAACTATCATGTCTCTTAGTCTCCTTTCTGTGAACAGTTACTTCTTTGGTTTCTCTTTCATGATCTTGCAGATTTCAAACATCCAGTCACTTATTTCACAGAATGCCTCCCAGTCTGGGTTTGTCTGATGACACTTCTGTATCCTCATATTCAGGCTGCATGTCTCTGGCAGGAAACCCCGGCACAGCACTGTGCTCTTCTCTGCTGTCATCATTAGGAGGTGCCTGGTGTGGGTCAGACTTATGACTGATGTGTGGCCCTTGATCTCTTAGTCACTGCTGAGAGTTCCTATAAAATTACTTTACCTTTCTGTTATTGTTAGGTTTCATGGGAGGAGACACTTGGGGCCTATGCAGTCCACAGCCTCCCATCATGGTAATGGCTGCCTACACCTGGCTATACAATGGTTGCTCCTGTCTTTCTGCCCCCACAACAGCCTCTTAGAAGGACACTTGACTTGCATCTTAAACCACTCCATGGGGGCTGGAGCAAGGGCTCAGCAGTTAAGAGCACTGATTGCTCTTGCAGAAGACCAGGGTTCAATTCCCAGCACCCACATGGTGGCTAACAACCAGCTAAAACTCCAGTTCCGGGGGATCTGACGCCCTCTTCTGTCCTTTGCAGGCACTGCACAGCATGGGTGCACTTACACACATACAGGCAATAAATACACTCATAAAATAAAAATAAAATAAAACAAAAATACTCCCAATATAGCAGTCACTAATTAGGAGTAACTGTAAACTTAAACAATAAAAATGAAATAAAATTGGTCTTAGTTTTAAAATGAAATACAGCCAGCCCCTCAGCCACACTGATTACATTATCAGCACTCAACCACATGTGGTCAGCGCACAGAAGCAGACCTGTTCTAATAAAGCATGCAGAGCCCCCCTCAAAAGGCCACACAGAAGGAGGACCCCATTAATCTATGCAACAGTCTCTGCAGGACTTAGGTCACTGACAGTGTCTTGAAGGAGGACATTACTCAGACAGTGAGAGAGGAAAGCTCAATCTTTGATTCTGCCTTCAGGTAAGACGAAGACATCTTAACTGAAACCAACTTAGAAGGCAATCTGAAACAGGAAGAGAAAAGGTCAAGAAAAAGCAGGAAAGGGAAGGCAGAGACAGAAAGGGTTAAATGCTGACCTTTACTGAATTTCTTACACCAACTTTTTCAATGCCCCTCTGAAAGAAATTTAAAGATGGGAGATTCTGATGATTTTAGATCCATCAAGAGAGAATGCTTCTTTGAAGATATTGTAGTTTTTTGCTTTTGCTTGTTTTTTGGACAGGGTCTCCCTAGTTCCAGCCTTCCTGGAACTCATTATGTGAACCAGGCTGGCCTGGATCTCACAGAGATCCTCCTGCTTCTGCCTGGGATTAAAGGCACACATTTAGGCCCAGCTTAAGATACTATAGTTTTATTTAAGATATATTTAAGGAAAATGCCACTAACCAAAAGCATTATAGCAAAGTAGCCTGAACTACAGGTGGCCCTCAAAGCAAGAACTGGATTATTCTAAACATAGCACCCAAGCACACAATCACTACAGTGCAACTTCTCAAGCATTTTTTAAAAAGCGTATTTATGAAGTAACAACATACCAGTTCAGATTTGAAGTAGCCTATTGTATTTTCATCCAACTGAAAATATCTTCTCTTCCAGTTTTTCATCTACCAGAGATGAAAAGAAAGATTTCAGGGAGTGTCAAGTGTGAGTCACTTCCTAGTCATCCCAGTATGAATACACAATCAGAAGCCCAGCAGTGAGAAACTATGCACCTCCCAGGAGGGGGTAAATTACAGCTCTCTCCTTTGCTACCCAGGCCTTGAACTCCTGGCTCTCAACCTTTGATGGCTCCATCTCAGATTTTTTTTTTAACAATTTTACATAGCTTTACTGCTCTACAGTGGGGTGGGGGAATATTTCCCTTTCCTCCCCACCAGCCCACCCCCACAAAGCAAAGAGCAAGTACAGGAAATGCTAGTAAACCACATCAGGTTTCTCTATCTATAAAATGCATGAGGCCTTTTTCAGGTATTTTATACAAAACAGTAGGGCAACAAATGGAAAATAAATTGATACAAAAATGTTTAATAAACTTTTTTTTTTTTTTTTTTTTTTTTTGAGACAGGATCTCCCTGTTAGCCCCAGCTGTCCTGGAACTCACTATGTAGACCAGGCTGGCCTTGAACTCACAGACATCGCCTGCCTCTGCCTCTCAAGTGCTGGGATTAAAGGCGTGCACCACCACGCCTGGCTTAATAAACTTTTATACAAATATTTTTGTTAATTAAGCACACTAAATTTAGGAGCACACTAAAATACCTCTAAGTGATCAGTACTTTAAATTTAGGAACAAAGCTGGTCTCCAGGCCTAATCAGCCTACCACTGTACCTCACAGCCTGGGGGCTAATTCTGCCTCCATCAGTAGACAACCTCTCTTGAGAAACCTCTGACCCCACACTATCCTTTCCCTGAGACTAACGGGCCAGGAGGCAGGAAGAACATTCCCTGGCAGAGTTGCCACAGAGTAACAAGCAGTCAAACAAAATTACCAGGAGAGTCTCAAGTGTTTCTTTATTCACATTTTTTTTTTCTTTTGCCCAAATGTTAAACTTTATTTTCTAATGAGATTCTAAAGATTTAGTTCATACAGAATAAATTTTAGAAAAGCTATCCCAATTAAACAAACAAACAAACAAACAAACAAAATCTCAGTTTTGTTATATAGCCCAGTTTAACCTGGAGCTTTCATTCTGCCTCCTTAGACTCCAAGGTCCTAGGATCACAATCTTGTACCACAGTGCCTGGCAAAAGAGTATTTGAAACCTTAGAAATACTGTGAGCCGAGCGTGGTGGCGTACACCTTTAATCCCAGCACTCGGGAGGCAGAGGCAGGCAGATCTTTGTGAGTTCAAGACCAGCCTGGTCTACATAGTGAGTTCCAGGACAGCTGGAGCTAGAGGGAGACCTCAAAAAAACCAAAAAAAAAAAAAAAAAGAAATACTGTGCAGGGTGTGGTGGCCCATGCCTTTAATCTCAGCACTTGAGAGGCAGAGACAGGTGGGTATCTTTGAGTTCAAGGCCAGCCTAGTAAGTGCCAGGACACCTGGGGCTACAGGGAGACCTTGTCTCAAAAAGTTTAAAAAAAAAAAAAATACTGATAAGTGTGCCTATTCTTAGAGAAATCTCCTGCCATGGAGCTGATGGGGATTGGGGGTGAGTACCTGAACTCACATGTCACAGGACCAGATCTATGCTCACGCTACACCTCTCATTTACCTCTTTCAAAAAGCCACAGACCACAGGTTTTATAAAATGGATTTCCCATACAATGAACCTGGAGCCCTAGAAGGTTAAGTAATCCAAAGTCAGAGCTGTCTATGGAGGTCAGCTCAAAATAAGAGGCCTTTCCTCCTGAGCCCTGGGCCTCACAACCTCCACTAAGGCTCTACCCCAGACTATTCCTGAGGGTGTGGGAAAGAAATCAACAAGGAAACTTTGTAGGGGCTGCACAGATGGCTGCACAAGCCTGAAATTGAACCCAGGAACCCATGTGAAGGGAAGAAATGGATACACAAAGTCATCCTCTGCCCTCAAGACTCTGACATGCTTGCCCTACCCCGACATGCAATCATTTTTTTGGAGGGGTTGTTCTCAAGACAGACTGTCTACAGGCAGAGGCAGAATCTCACCCCACCCCAGGTTATGAAGCATTGGATCGGCCTGGAACTGGAGTTAAAAATGGCTGCTAGCTGCCATGTGGGTGCTGGGAACCAAACCCAAAACCTCTCTGCAAGAGCAGCCAGTGCTCTTAACTGCTAAGCCCTCTCTTTCTGGAATAATCCTAAACTGTGATGAAAGCTCATTTCAACTTTGGTAAAAGTAATAGCACCAGGTGTGGTGGCACACGCCTTTAATCCCAGCACTCGGAAGGCAGAGGCAGGTAGATCCTCTGTGAGTTCGAGGCCAGCCTGGTCTACAGAGTGAGTTCCAGGCAGCTGGAGCTACAGGGAGACCGTCTCAAAAAGACCGAAAAAAAAAAGTATTAACTTATCCCGCTGCCTGAAAACCAAGGAAATGATGGCACTGTGTGATGAGTGCGGAACAGCCCACTCTACCTCCCCATCCTCTTCCCAGCAGTCACTGCTCCCCACTTTGGATCTTGCATAAAGTAAAGCACATGGTCTGAATTTGCAAGCTTCACACAGGAGAGACGCTACTCACCACTGCTCCCTGTTTTACACAATACCCAGCTTTGATGACTGCACTGTCTGGGGCAGGCTTAGGAGTAAAGTAAGGAAGATGGCTTTGTGACCGCTTCAAATGATTCCTGTCAACACTTTCACCACATTCGTTTACTTCTTCTTTCTAAAAATGAAGTAAAATTAATTATTTCCCTGTGTTAAAGTACACTTTCATTCACCTTGTTATCTTAGCAGAAAATCTTAAAATCAGTCTTAATGCAGTCTGGAACTCAGATTTTGAAGTGAGGAGTTTTCTAAATAATAATTCGAATTATTCTGAGATACTTCACCCCATTTCCTATCACTGATTAAAGCACAAATACCCACCAGTGTGGTTCTGCAAAAGTCCTGCCTCTAATGCTTTTTCTTGGGGTGGGGATGGGGAACAAACTTTTAAATCATCAAGTAATTTAAACAGATTTACAGAAGTTCCAAAAAATTTTTTTAAGTCCTGGAGAGCCTGTATACCCTTCAACCACATTCTACGAAAAGGGAAACTGTGTATTTATAGAGTAAATATATATCAAAACCACATCATCGCCTCCTATAAACTCGACTCAGATTTCTACAGCTCTATGTGCACTCACTGGTCTAAAGCATACAGTTCTGTGCAGGGTTATCACAGGAGCAGACCGTCCGACCACCGCCATAACCAACACAAAGAACTCGGCGTTGGTTTCACTGTGCTGCCAGCCGCCTCTTTACAACCGTTAACTGTTCTCTGCCTCTGAGTTCTGCCACGTGGGGACTATAACTGGACACAGACAGGGAAGTCATCTTTGGGGGTTTTTAAATCTTCACTCAGCATGCTCCTCTGGAGAGTCATGCAGTGGTTCTTTATGCCAATGATCTGCTCCTTTGCACTGCTGCATCCCATGGAGTGGTGCACGGCCACACCATACTGCTACCCATCTACCCACTGAAGGGCATGTGAGTTATTTCCAGCTTCTGACTGTTAGGAATAAACTACTATAAACATTCATATACAGATTCTTAAGTCATAATTATCTACTTCCTTAGGATAAATGCCTAGGAGAGTAAGTACTGGGTTGGAAATATTGGGCTGTAGAGTTTTCTGGAGTGGTTAAACGCTTACAGGCCACCAGCAAAGGGTGAGGCCTGGCCTGGCCTGGCTCCCGTTGGCATCTACATTGCCAATTTCCACATCAGTCACTCTGACAGGCAGTACCTCACTGCGGCCTTAATTTGCATTTCCCTACTGACTACTGATAGAGTCCATCTTTCCAGGTGCCTATCAGCACACATCTCTTCTTTCACTGAAATGACTGGCATGGACTTGCCTGGTTTTCTTTTGGTTTATTAAGTGTTGGGCTTTGAGAGTTCTTTCTGTGGATTAAAGTCCTTTGTTGGATACAGGTACCCTGCAGATATTTTCCTGGTCTAGCTCTTCTATTCCATCTTCTGAACAAGGGCTTTTGGAATCAATATTATCAATCTTTTCCTTTTATGAATAACGTGTTTGGTATCAAGTCTAAAAGTGCTTTGGTTAAACCTTGATCCTGAAGATTTTCTCCTATGCTCTTTCCTAAGTGTTGTAGTTTTTAATGTTTTTTAAAAGCTCAATGCTTACAAAAACAAATAAGCAAACAACCAAGATTTCATGTCCTGCAACATACTGGCTTCCCGGTATTTATACCAACCATCCTCTACAATCCCACAAACAAGCCAATAGTAAATTTTTAAGAACTCCTAAAACTCAAAAGAAAAACCGGATTTTTTAAAAAATTTATTTATTTTATGTGTACAAGTGTATTGCCTTGTATGTATGTGAGTGCACCCATGTCGTGCAATGCCACAGAAGTCAGAAGAAAGCTTTGGATTCCCCTGGAACTGGAGTTAAGGACAGTTCGTAGCTGCCATGTGGGTGCTGGGAATCAAACCCGGGTCCTCTGCAAGAGCAGTCAGTGCTCTTAACCGCTGAGCCATCTCTGCAGCCCCGAAAAACCAGATCTTAACTATCAGGCATATCTCAAGGAATTTTCAACCTGTTTTACATTAAGACAAGTCAACAACACTAACTATATATTGAACTTTGTAATGCAGTACTTAATTCACTGTTACCCAAGAGTTGCTGAGGAAATCATTCAAATCAAACTTATTTAAACACCTTCTTGAGGCTATAAATACTACTCTTTAATTTTAAATTCGGTATTACAATAAAACAATAAAATTCTTTAGATCCGGCTGCCTCTGCCTCCAGAGTGCGTGCGCCACCACGCCTAACTCTTTAGAGCTTTTTAAAAAAATGAGACATCTGTAGAATCCAAATTAAAATGGCCACAGGCACAAATAAACTGCAAGAGTATCTTAACATACCTAGCCGCAGACAGCCATGGACAGCCACAGATAGCCACGGACAGCCAGGGCAAGCCACAGTAAGGAGATAGCTTAGCCAGCTATACACTAACTACAAGGTTAACAAGTTAAAAATCATTACTTTTGGAAAAAGTAAACCATACCCCTCCTGCTCACTCCTTCTCCCCTATTTCACTTTTATTCAATTTTGGCTCAAAGGAAAAATAAGGTACAAGCTCCCCCTAAAGAGGTAGTTTTGTTATGAGCCCCTTTGACAGCTTAAAGAAGATACTCAATAGCTAATTAATTAATGTTGAAAATTTCTTTCCACTAATAACTATTCCAGGGGCAAAAGACTTGAAAAGTATGTTGTATGTTAACAATTTGAAAGGTCTATAGTGTCAAAGCCTTTTAAGATCAAAAGACAGAAAGGTGATGAAAATACCCAACAATGATAATAACAACTACTTTTAAATTCTTGACTTCTCAACTACTAGTAATTTAATTTCATTAAAAACTCATTCCCTCAATAACAATTTAAGAAATTTTAATCCAAATAAAAGTTTTACTCTCTAGCTGGGTATGATGGTGCACGTCTTTAATCCCAACACTCGGGAGGCAGAGGTAGGTGGATCTCTGTGAGTTCGAGGCTAGCCTGGTCTACATACTGAGTTCCAGGCCAGTTGGGGCTACGGGGAGGCCCGGTCTCAACTCGCCCCCCCCCCCCCCCCAAAATTTGCAAACTCTAACTCAGCAATTTTATTTCTAGGAATTTATCTTGATGTAGATTTGTAACTATAGGTATTCAAGAGGCTAAGGCAGGGAGATTTAAAGCTGGGGGCTTGTCTGGGCTACAAAGTGAGTTCAAGATAACCTGGGCAACTTAAAACAGGTCACAAAATTTTAGAATATAGTAGCTCTGTGGCAGAGTGCTTGCCTGGCCTGTGGAGGCCCCAAAGAAAAAACATGACTGTATCTCTGAAGTTTAAGCTACAAGATATTCATCACAGCATTGTTTATAAAAGAGGCAAGAAAAGGAAAAACAAGAATAAACTTTGATTTGTCCAACAGGAGGGTCTACACATTATTGCAAACCCATGGCAGAACTGTGCAGCAATTACAAGTGACAGAGAGGAAGTTTTGATGACGAGGCCTATGTTCATGATGTGAGATACCACTATGAAGTCTGACATGCAGCTCCCCTCTCCACTGCTGAGGAGAGAACAAACGTGACTCAGAGAAACACCAAGTGCCGTTTATCTGTAATTTCCAAATTTTTTACAACAAGAATGTACTTTTGGAATAGGAAAACAAAATAAAAGTCTTTGTAGAAATTGAGTATTGAATTAATTCTGTCAAGATTAACTGTTACAGTTTTGAAAACACAAAGATCTTACACAGTGCTGAGCCCTCTCAACAGATGACTGTTACCTGGGTTGGCGTGATGATGGGCACGCCGCCCACAATGTCAGTTCTGTAGGAGACCTGCTTCTTCCCACAGTCGCCTTGACGATTTAGGTTGTCTGATGCCGGGTGTGAGTCTGACTGCTTTGGTACCTGAAACAGAAAGTGAAAAGGATCATCTTAAAACCAGTGTTGTATATGTAACCCTGCTCAATATCACAATTTCCACCTAATGTTACAGATCACCTAAGAATGCACAGACTGTTCAGTGCTGCATTAGAGCTCACATCGTTCTTCTGTTCTAATGCCCAAGTTTATGCTGCTATAAACTGCTCATATACTTTATAAACCACTATCACCTAGTGCCAGTGCTGGCCAGGCACTGCTGCATACACTCCTGCCATTGCTATGTGCACAGCAGCAGTAGCTCAGTTTGAGGAGGAAACGGGCTCAGAAGCAATAAGGAACACAGGCTCAGATCCTTGCTGTACTATATGCTAGCCAGTCTGTGTAATAAAATAAAATAAAACCCAACCGCATCAATTATGACACCGAACATGATTTAGGCCTCCAATGATTTAAAGGACCCTGCAGTTTTCAGAGACATGGACAATGCTAATGACAATCATAAAAGTAGTGGTATAAAAACATTTAACTTAAAATTATATCATTTGCCCATCAAGTAGCTAACCCCTATGAACTACAGTGGATATCACTGACACGTATTTCAAAGACCCTACCATGTATTAGCATGACTCCAAAGCAGGGTGTGTTCTAAGCAGTAGTGTAAATAAAACATCACCCAGGAGCATCATTAAAAACTAAAGATTTCCAGGCTCCACTCCCAGAATCTCAGATTTAATAAGTCTATAGTAGAGCTCCATCAAACTACTTTCAGGAGGAACACTGATGTCTGAGTGAGGTTGTCTCACAAACCACGCTCCAAAACTGCCCTCATTTTACATGATGCTGCCCCGCCCCCAATGTGTAGAAAAGCAGATATACAATATAGACAAGGATTTACAAAGAAGTTTTTTTTTTGTTTTTTTTTTTCCCCCTTCAAAATATTGAATAAGCATGGGCTGTGTGTACATGAGGAGGCTGGGCTGGAGTAGACCCCAATTGGCACAGACTTAGGAACATAAATATTTAGTAATGTCTTAAGCTCCCCGTGCTTTCCCTCAGGCCCTGGCAGCACCTCTAGTCTCTCATCTCTCACTACAATGCCAGCTGCAAAGGAAAAACAGGACAGAGAGAGAAGTGAATCCCCAATGCCTGTGCAGCTGTAAGAGCTATATATGTTGACGTGTTTTTCAAAGGCAATGTAATAGTGGACAAAGTTTCACTTGTTAAATAAAATTAAGGTATCATCCCTAAGCTGGGCATGGTAGCACATGCCTTTAATACAGGCAGATCTTTAAGACTGAGGCCAGCCTGGTCTACATAGTGAGTTCTAGACCAGCTGGGGTGACAGGAAGACCTTGTCTCAAAAAGACCAAAAATAAAAAAATAAAAAAATAAAGGACAATTTGCAGATGAAACCTAGTACATTTTCTAGTAATTCAATTATTTGACAGTGACTATGTGGCCCTGTGCATTCATTGAGGGTAGAAAACAGCTCTAACAGAATTTGAAACCACAGAGAAAATAATGTATCCGACTGATTACATAAGAAGCACTACTCTGAGGTGACCTGAGAAGAAAAGTTATATTCTCAAGAAATTGAGAGTTCTGCTATACATAAGAATTTCTGAAGAAAAGCCTTTAATGTTTGTACTTTGTCATACACAGAACTGTGGGCTGCTGTTCCCTATTCTCCCTGTACAACTAGCCCACTACTTCCAATCTGTTCTTTACTATTCAATCTCTTCTTATAACAAGATAAAAAGCGAAATAGGGCCTAATTTCAATACTAAAGTCCAATAATAAACTTCAATTCAACTTTACAACTAATAATTACCTAAACCGCAATCACCTTGTTCCCCAAGAACAAGAAAAATGTCTAGAAATAATGGTAATTCCCTAAAAAAATTACAGGTCCAAATAAAAAACAGGTCTAAATTCAGCCATTAAGATAAACATTTTCATCCCCCCTAAATCACCAACTGTTAATGAGAATCAGCAGTCGTCTCACAGGCCGGAGAGCAATGCCAAGAACTGGGGTTTTAGTCCCTACTGCTTCCTCCCGTTTTTCCTTTTTTAAAAATTTTATTTCTACTTTTTAAAAAATATTTTATTTATTATTTTTATTTTATGTGTATGATAATCCCAGCACTTGGGAGGCAGAGACAGGCGGATCTCTGTGAGTTCAAGGCCAGTTTCCCCTGGAACGGGAGTTAAGGACAGTTCGTAGCCACCATGTGGGTGCTGAGAATCGAACCCAGGTCCTCTGCAAGAGCAGTCAGTGCTCTAAACTGCTGAGCCATCTCTCCAGACCCTCATGTTTTTTTAAAAATGTTTATTACTTTTATTTTATGTGTATGCATGCATCGCCTGCATGTAGGTAAGTGCACCCGTGTCGTGCAATGCCTACAGAGGACAGAAGAAGTTGTTGGATCCCCTGGAACTGGAGTTATGGACAGCTGTTAGCTGCCATGTGGGTGCTGGGATTTGAACCTGAGTCTTCTGCAAGAACAGTCAGTGCTCTTATCTGCTGAGCTATCTCTCCAGCCCCCTAGTTTTGTTTATTTTTATTTTTATTTTTTTGTCTTTTTGAGACAGGGTCTCCCTGTAGCCTCAGCTGTCCTGGAACTCATTATGTAGACCAGGCTGGCCTTGAACTCACAGAGATACACCTGCCTCTGCCTCCCAAGTGCTGGGACTACCGGCGTGCACTACCATGCCTGGCCAGCCCCCTATTTTTAATTATGTACATGTATGTGTGTCTGTGCAGATGAGTGAAGGTGCCCATGGAAACCAGAGTGTTGGATCCCCTGGAATTGGAGTTATAGGCACTTGTGAGCCTCCTGGTGTAGGTGCTGGGACTCGAACTCAGATCCCCTGCAAGATGCTCAGCACAGCACTGAGCCATCTCTCCACCCATCCCCCAACTTTTTCTTAATGTGACTTTGTTTCCTGTGAGGGACTTGAAAGCCTTCTCAGCAGGCATTTCAATATGACCCTAACACTTGCTCCAGTAGAAGGAAAAGAAAAGTGATTATATGAGATGAATAAAACAGATTTCAGTATTATGACTAAAATAAAGAAAAATGCTACAGGCATCTCAAAAGTTACAGGGGCAAGGTATGGTGGCGCACACCTTTAGCCCCAGTACTCGGGAGGCAGAGGCAGGCAGATTTCTGTGAGTTTAAGGCTAGCCTGGTCTACACAGCAAGTTCCAGGTCAGCTAGAGATACAGAGAGACCCTATCACAAAAAGACTGAAAAGAAAAATAAAAAAGGTATAGGGAAGGGTGAAATTCAGCTTACTAAGAATGAGCTGGAGGACAGAACCTAGAGTGACCAGACAAATTCCTGAGCTGCAAGCTCTTTAGCACTCTACCTGGTCATGGCCAGTCTGTGCAGAGCAAATGACCTGCCTAACACTGAGGGCCAGCAGCCCACTTGTTAGAGCAAAGTCCGATACTCAGTTACTGTTCTATTTGTACCAGCTACCATTAAAAACAAATGAAAGGGGCTGGACAGCTGGCTCAGCAGTTAGGAGCAATGGCTGCTCTTTCAGAGGGCCTGGGTTTACTTCCCAGCATCCACATGGCAGCTAACATGGGTGCACTTATATACATGCAAACAATATACTCATACACATAAAATAAAACTAAAGTATTTTTTTAAAAAAATAGTGGACTTGGCCAGGCATGGTGTCACAGGCTTTTAATCCCAGCACTCAGCAAACAGGCAGCCCTATCTCTATGAAATCAAGGTCATCCTGGTCTACTTAGCAGAGTTCATTCCAGGCCAGCTGAGGCTATAAGGAGACCCCATCTCAAACAAACAAACAAACAAACAAACAAACAAAATAAAAATAATGAACTTCTGCTTAGGAAAAACCATGGACTTCTTAAACACACTTCAATAACCAGTAGGGGACCAGGAACCACAATACTAATGATGCCATCACCATAAATAGCTGAAAGAATGCTTCCCTTTTGATTTTCCAAACTCTAGTCACTGAATATTCCATTTAAGATTAGTTCTTCTGCTGGGCATGGTGGCACACCTTTAATCCTGCCACTAAGGAGGCAGAGGCAGGTGAATCTTTGTAGACTAAGGCCAGCCTGGTCTACATGGTGAGTTCTAGGCCAGCTGGGGCTACAGGGAGACCCTGTCACAAATTAAAAATAAAGTTAGTTCTTCTAGTATTGTTATTTGTTTTTAAATCTTTTTTTTTTTGTCTTTCTGAGACAGGGTCTCCCTGTAGCCCCAGCTGTCCTGGAACTTACTATGTAGACCAGGCTGGCCTTGAACTCACAGAGATCCACCTGCCTCTGCCTCCTGAGTGCTGGGATTAAAGGTGTGCGCCACCACGCCCGGCTAAAATCTTTTTTGTTCTGTAAATAAATTAAGAGAGAATCTGAAATGTCAATGGACACCCAGCAGACTCAGGGAGAGTCAGTAAAGGCAACTACGGCAACAAAGGGCAGCACTACAAGGTGACAAGCTACTGTAGAGAGGACTACTTAAACAAGCACCCCTTTCTCACCTACCATCCTCTAGCACCTCTGTGCTAAGAACACACATTCTCAAACCCTAATTTCAAATTTCTAAAACTTTTACTTTTCTCTATCACATGGTACTCAACAGACCACTAAATCACAGAGTTGACCAGAGCATCATCTGGAGTGATTCCATTGCAAGGGAAAATACATATGGAAACATTAATTCTTCAAAGAGTCTACACATAAATAGGAAATTAGAAGTGTCACACTCTAAACACTTAAATATGCAATATTCCAATGAAGTCAACTGGTAATAATTTCTCTTTTTTGTCTTTTTGAGATAGGGTCTCCCTGTAGCCCCAGCTGGCCTCGAACTCACAGAAAAACTGGCAATATTTTCATCTTAAAAAATTAACAAAATGTCAAGCTGGGCGTGGTAGCTCATGCCTTTAATCCCAGCACTATGAGGATCTCAGTAAGTTCAACACCAGCCTGGTCTACATGATGAGTTCTAGGCCAGCTAGGGTTACAAGGAGACCCTGTCTCAAAAAGACCAAAAAAAAAGTTAAAAATTATTAAAGCATGAGAAATCCTGGTGCTTTCAGTCAACTATCAATTCCATACTCATTTAAATGCACTTATAATCACTTTTTTGATGATTCCTATGTTTTACATGTATTTATATTTTCTAAATTATAACAACATGAAAATATTTATCAAGATTTATCTTAAAAACTGTAAAACTTTTAACATGTAAATAAAGCTACAAGATCACACAAGCTAACTAAAAGTCTACAGCTTTCCAGGAATGGTAGTACACACCTTTAATCTTGGCAGACAGTGGTGGGCAGATCTCTGTGAGAAAGAGGCCAGCCTGGTCTACAAAGCTAGTTCCAGGTCAGTTGGGGCTATAGGAAAACCCTGCCTCAAAAAGACCAAAAACAAGAAAGTCTAACCCTCAAATATTACCCAGTCCCTAATCAGTTTCTCCTTCATGGTAAAAGCTTGACAGTGTCCTGTGAGGAAAACTGTTTCATCCCATGAATATAAATTATACACAGCAATCCAAGACACTTGTAGAAAGCTGGAGACCATCCACATTACTTCTATTCTGAAGCATTAAGAAACCAGTTCAGCCGGGCATGGTGGTGCACGCCTGTAATCCCAGCACTCGGGAGGCAGAGGCAGGCGGATCTCTGTGAGTTCAAGGCCAGCCTGGTCTACATAGTGAGTTCCAGGACAGCTGGGGCTACAGGGAAACCCTGCTTCAAAAAGACAAAAAAAACAAACAAACAAAAAAAAAAACCAGTTCTGCTTATTACTGTAAACTGTGAAAAATGAATTCAGTAAAGTACTACATATTGTCTTTCTAAAGAAATTTTTCAAGTAGGGAATATTTATTTGATCTCAAAATGATCAGCTAAAACCTTTTTTAAAACATAAACTTCTAAATCTGTTCAAAATATTGCTTTCTGAAACTGCACAAACCCCAAAATAACTTCTGCTCCATGTACAGATCAGATGCGGTGTGTGGGCGTTTTCTGTCATGTGGTAACAAGCTGTTCTGTGCAAGACAAAAATTTAGACCTAAGAACAGCCTTGGCTGTTAACTCTTTGTTGTGTTGCGAAAGAGACATGGACTCATTCCTTCTGGGATGGAAACTAATGAGTGGCTGTAATGCTGATACTCAGGGCACATGTTCTTTGGCATAAAGTAGTTAAGGCCCACCAACAACTGGCCTTTACTGAAAGCATACTTTGATTGATTCAACCCCACACAGGAGGTGCTCCTTCCCAGCCCCTTTCCAGGCAGCCTCTGTTGTGTTTCTCTTTAAGTGTGTAAGGAGGAAAAGGTGTGGCAAGGTTGAGGGAATAGACTCATCCACATCTCAGCAGCAACAGCAGCTCACAAAAGCTTAGCTGGCTTTAGGAAGGAGCTCTTTGATTCCTGCACTGAAGATCTGGTTCAGGTTCCAGGCCCAGTAGGCACCAGCCCCAGCTGACCAGCACTGAAAGCTGTATTTCACTCAACCTTTCTAACCCTCACTTTTCCAAAGAGCTTAGGTAAAACCTTTAGTCTACAGCCTGCCTGGAACAGTGTAAATAATCAGTAAACACTAACACTCATTATAGCAAACAAGAAAAGGGTTTGTAGCAACAAGCCACAACATCAGAAGACAAGCGAGCTCTGGAACCCAAGGAAAAGGCAGGGAGGGGAAACATTTAGAGCCTCAGACACTCCCACATTACATGGGCACATCCCTCTGCTTGCCATGGCTCTTCAATCCCTAGCCCTTCACCTCCCCTGTCCACTCCCATCTTCAACTCCTGCCTGTAATGGCTTAGAAGAGGGGCATGTGTACGGAATCATCAGAGTAGGTGACCCAAAGCCTCTTATCCTACTTTGGAAGAGAAAAACAATGACCAAAATCAACACGCTACATGCATCTTCCCTAGAACACTCCTGTAAGCAGTGTTCAGTCTACAGTGATGTGCATCCTTACTAGGGACACAGTGAGTGGAAGGCATTAGCAGGCTGATGAAAGGACTGACAGTCCCCATGTATAAGAAAATATTTTCACATTCAGAACATCTGTCTGTTAAACAAAACTTGAGAACGCAACCTGCCGGTAAGCTGAGGACATTCAGTGGAAACACTTTCAAAATGTAAAGATTACTTCTATACATGGGGAAATTAAAAATACAAATACTCACTGTAATTTTTATAGCTTTGTTCAAGACATTTACCCACTCCACCAAGTCTTGCTGGTCATTGGCTTGTAGGAAGTATTTCCTCATTCCTGCATTCATGACTGTGGGGAAAACAAATGTATGAAATATTGGACTTCTCACCTCTAAATTTATGTTTGTGGCAGCTGAAAAAACCTTGCTCGATTCAACACTTTAACTCTTGGATTTCACAAAACACATTTGGTCATACACAGTACTGCTTCTACCATTCAATTATGTAGGTCAAACTCTTTTAGGGCCACCTTTTTCATTGGATAAGATATACTAATACATGGTGGGTCAATTCCCCAACGGTACACACGTCACTTACAATCCTGGAAATCATATAAAGTAGCACAATGAAACATCTGCACATCTTTCTCTGGCTAGAATTTCTGTGGGATAATTTTCTTGACATAGATTTACTGAGTCACAGAGAATTCACATTTAAAACATTTCTATTAGCAAACTGTCTTGTCAAAGACTGAATCCATCGATCTTCTTCCCACCTGTGTACACAAAGGCCTCTGCAGACTCCTGTACATATCACCATCAGCACCCATGCTAATCACACACTTGTTTTCAGCCCCAAAGCTCTCCGACTCTGGGGCTGAGAGTCTGAAGCTTTATTTCATAGGTTTCCTTGCTAGCTGGAGTCATGTTCTGCCAGAGGAAAGTACTGGTGGGAGCCTGGAAGGTGGGATGGGGAAGATGAAACGAGGCCATCTGCCTCAGTTCTGACCTCCTTCTAGCAGACACAACTCACGTCCAGAGCCTTCTTACACCTCCTCTGCCAGCCAGCCTTGCAGGGTCCAGAGGACACCCATCACGGGCAGCTGCTCCTCCTCCACACCCAGCTGCTCCTCCGCACCCCAAGGCTATGCACTGCTTCTTCCCTTTTATGTTCTAGTCCTGGAGAGGGAGCTGCTTCACACAGTCTCCGATTTCTGAGTCACTTCAACACTTCACAAGTTCTTCCCACCTTCTAACATTTAGGTAACTAACTCCTTGTCACAATTTCCTTGGGACTGGAAGACTCATGTGGAGTTCTAGTCACTGGATCCTGACTGACACAGCAGCGTAACAGTGGATAAGTACACCTTGTTTAAATCTGAATTTTTTTGATTACTGAGAAAAATTAGTTTTTTAAAAAATATTCTTTTTATTTTATGTGTATGAATGTATTGCCTGTATGTATGTGAGCGCACCCGTGTCATGCAATGCCGCGGAGGTCAGAAGAGGGCTTCGGATTCCCGTGGAACTGGAGTTAAGGATGGTTCATAAGTGCCATGTGGGTGCTGGGAATCGAACCTGGGTCCTCTGCAAGAGCAGTTAGTGCTCTTAACCACTGAGCCATCTCTCCAGCCACGAAAAATTAGTTTTATATGGTTATTACTCAACTGTATTTGTTTCTAGAACTTTGGCTGTTTCATTCTCTTGAGCTATTGTTTATAGCTTATTAATTTGTAGGAGCTTTCCTATTACTCTGTTGTTTTATTATAATCCCATTTCCTAATCCTGACTTCTGTGTTCATGGTGTCTTTGACAATACAAGTATTCTATCAATTTTTCTTTTTAATTCCTCTAGATTTCATATCTTTAGAAAACTTCCCTAATTTAAGAGTATAAATATCTAGCTGGCATGGTGGTACATGCCTTTAATCCAGCACTCGAGAGGCACAGGCAGAGTTTAAGTCAGCCTGGTCTACATAGTGAGTTCCAGGCCAGCTGGAAAAAAAAAAAAAAAGCATAAAAATCTCTATTTTCAAACTCTTTAAGAATTTTATCTATTTATTTTATGGGACACTTCACGAATTTGAGGGTCATCCTTGCTCGAGGGCCATGCTAATCTTCCTGCACTGTTCCTGGTCCAATTTTAGTACATGAAGCAAATGTTGAATATATGTGGAGCTAAATGTTGAATATATGTGGAGCTTCATATGAAATCTGAATGTGCTCCTTAGGGATGGGGCTATCTACTTTTTTACTTTAAAAAAAAAATTTATGTGTATGAGTGTATTGCTTACATATATGTAAGTGCACCCATGTCATGCAATGCCAGTGGAAGTCAGAAAAGGGCATCAGATTCCCTGGAACTGGAGTTTTGATAGGTGCTAGCTGCCATGTGGGTGCTGGGAATTGAATCCAGGTCCTCTGCAAGAACAGCCAGTGCTCTTAACTGCTAAGCCATCTCTCCAGCCTCAGGTCTATCTGCTTTATAAAGCAAAGCACATCTGCACATATGGTATTCTACAAGCTACCAGAGTTGGCTCTTCAATTACACCTATTCACTACACATTATGTAGTTATCTAAAAATCAAATACTATTCTGAGAATTAAGGTACCAATAGCTACAGTGTTCAAATACAAACATAACTGCCAAAGGCTCTCCAAGATGTGAATAATTAACGTACCAGCACCTGGCTGGATATGACTAAGAGAAGAGGGAAATGAAAGCCCTCAAGAAAAAGAATTTATTCCTTGGAGCTGGAGAGATGGCTCAGTGGCATAAAACAAATGCACAACATACATTTCTGAATGAATAATATTTATAGTAAACTATATAGGGAATATTAAGGAAAGAAAGACTGATCAACGTAACTAAAAAGACTCCTGGTGGCTGGAGATGTAGCTCAACACTTTGCCTAGGATGCTCAAGGCTCTGGGTTCCAACTCAAAAAAACAAACCAAAACAAAACAAAAAACCCAGCAACTCTTGGCACAGTCTGTTGTTTGAATAAATACTCATATGCTTTGATTTCATGTCAAGAGGAGCATAAACATCTGCTACAAACTAGGAACACCGAAAGTGGTCAGGTCTGACAAGCTTACACTCTCCCAAGCACTGACTGATCTGAGTCCTGCTTTCTTCACCTAGGAAACAGCAATGTCACCCTGTTCCTGAAGGAATGGAGATGCAGATGGAAAGAAACTGACAGAATATTCTTCTCCATCACCACCCTCAGATTTCCATAGCATGCAAGTATGCTCAATAGGGGTGTGTTTGCAACACAGGAACAGAGGGTGTAGATAGGAAGAGGAGGAAAAAGTTCTAAATATTGGAAACGCGGAATGAGGGTGCCTCTACGGTGCCAAGCATCTAAGCAAGAGTTTCACATGAGCCAGAGTCCCCAGAAGCCTGAGTGTGTCTTGCATTTTCACCTGAGCACTTTAATATTCAAATCTTTAAAATCAGAGTTAAATAAACTGGATAAAAACTACAGCACAAACATTAGCATAACTGTGAGCAAAAAACGTCTCACAACCTAGGATAAATGGCTATGGCTCCAGCGTGGCCCCAGAGCTGACGGTGAGCAGCCATGCAAAGGGCCTGTTCTTGCCTTCCCAGGGTTCTCTCCCTCTCTTTTTGCTGAGAAAGCATCTCACTGTGTAGCCCAGACAATGCTGGGATGACAGGTGCAGACCACACTCTATCGCTTTTTTATTACCTTTTTTTCACATTTTACCCTTGGGGATGGAGAGACGTCAGTGGTAAACAGCACTGGCTACTCTTGCAGAGGACCCAGGTTCAAGCCCAGCATCCACATGACGGCTAACACCTGTTAGTAACCAGGGAATCTGATGCCCTCTTTTGGCCTCCGTGGGCACTGCACGCACATGGTGCACTTACATGTCTGTAGGCAAAACACTTATATACATAAAAATAAAAATTAACTAAATACAATTTTTTTCTTCTGGGGCTGGAAAGATGGCTCCACAGTTAAAAGCACTGGCTGCTCTTGCAGAAGCCCCAGATTTGGTTCCCAGCACCCACATGGTGGCCAACAACCATTCATAACTTCAGTTCCAAGTGATCCAACGTCCTAGTCTGACCTCAGCAAGCACTGTATGCATGTGGTGCACTTACATACACGCAGGCAAAACACACATGTACGTAAGTTTTTTAAATTTCTTAAAAAACACCTAATTTTATAGGGTTGGGGATTTAGCTCCGTGGTAGAGTGCTTGCCTAGCAAGTGCAAGGCCCTGGGTTTGGTCAGCTCTGGGGAAAAAAAAAAAGACAAAATAAAAACACCTAATTTTTTTTTTCATTGTTTCTTATTCCTTTTTCTGTTTGATAATTCTTTGCAATCTCGGGCTGTCTGTTCCTATTTTAAAGGAAGGGACTGGAGAGGCTGGTTGGGCACCCTTACGTTGTGGGGTTGAGACCTAAAAAGGCTCACTGTAAAGCAAGTGCTTCTAGTTAGCCGCAACTGTGTTCTTGAGGGTATCAGGCTCTACCCACCCAGGGCTGCAAGTCAGGGCTGCATGCAGGGCAGGGCAGGGCTGCATTCTCAGTCAGACTCCCATCTAATCCTCCTCTTTGCAGTTTCAGGCCTCATTCCTTCCCTTCTCTGGGATTAATGTTAGTTTCTATTTCTGGAGATACCACAAAGCCCATTCCCTGCTGGGCAGGGGAGGGGAGCAGGGTGGCTGCCCACAGGAGCCAGATGGAGGTAGGAACTAGAGGTTATTTTTTTAAAGATATCCAAACAAAGAAACTGTTCTTAGTCCCTCCTCACCATTTCACCCCACGCCCCAAATCATGCCCTATTCCCTAAGCCTATTAGGGAGGTGTGGGGCAGGACACTGAAATGCTCAGCTCTTCGGCCTCTTCCTCTCCTCTGCCACCTTAGCCACCTTTCCTCCATCTATTTCCATATCCACATGAGAGCCACCACTCATGCCCCTTCATTTATCGAAGACAATATGAATTTCTTGTGTGCCCCCTGCCCGTTTCAGAGAATTCAAGACATGCTGCCACTTAGAACTCAGTGTCTAGCTCTGAAGGCCACACTTCATGAGCCTCTTCTCTATTCCTATTAGCAGAGGACTAATAAACCACTGAGAGATGAACAGATGACTCACTTTAATCTTTGATTCCCAACTACAAGCACCCATTCTAATGAGGCCCAACAACCACAAGTGGAGACTGTATTATCTTACGCTATGTTAAAAACAGTACACTGGGGCTGGGTGTACCTCAGCAGTGGAGTACTTGCCTAGTATGAACAAGGTCCTGGGTTTGATACTCAGCACCCAAAAAAAAATGATGATTCATATATTTTAAGACAGAGATCTCTGCTACTTCACTAGCCCTCAATACCCTTCCATTACAAGGCCAGGAAATATTTAGTCATTAAAATGATAATTTGCAGCAAATGTATGACTTTTTAAAAAGTTTCTCATCAGTGGCAAACGCACTAGGATTCTGAGTGGCTGCACATCTCCTGATGCCATCAGTCACAACTCCTAACATCGGCCTGCAGAAGGCTGTCCTTCGCACACAGACAGAGCAAAGAACTTTGACATAAATTCTGTCCCCAAATATCTTTTTACTCTAATGTAAAACAGTCCCTTTTTCACACCAGTTGGCCACTCCAAATATCTGCCCCTTCCATCACAAGAACATGCAGAGAGGGTATCAACTTCATCTTAAACTACGCCCCACTCTCTTAACATGCTCTAAATTTCTCCATGCCTTTTTAGGAATATAATCACTGACTTGCATTAACTGATCAGCTAAGAGATCTCACTGTGATGTGTCCGTACTTCATGTACTGTGCTCTGGGCACATCTACCCTGCTCGTCATCCCCTTACCACACTGATTAGCCATTTGCCTCACTGCTACAGCAAATACCTGATAAAGGCCACCTGAGGGAGAGGATGACTGGCTCACAGTTCAGGGGATGCAGCCCATCGTGGTGGGGAAGGCACAGTGGCAGGCACAGGAGGTGGCTGGTCACGTGCATCCACAGGCAGGAAGCAGAGAGTGATGAATCTTTGTGCTCAGCTCACTTCCTTCTCTTTATGGGGTCTAGAACCCCAGTCCATGGAACTGTGCAGCCCACATTTAGGGGTGTTCCCACTTCAGTTAAGCTAATCTAGATACTCCTTCACAGACATACATGCTCAGAGATCCATTTTCAATGTGATTCTAAATCCCATCAAGTTGACAATTAAGATTACCCCTCACGCCCCGAACCCTTCCTGCCCTGTCCTACCCCATCCCATGCAATCCCACCCTGGTTCTCTTCTCCTTAACAGGCCCATTTCTACTTTCAGGCCATTTTCTATGCCTAGTTTCCACAAATAAGAGAGACCAGTCACTCCTAGTTATACCCAAATGAAATCAGCATACAAAAGAGACACCTGCATACCATGTCTATCATAGCACTATTTATAATCAGTCAAGAGATGGAATTAGCTTGGGTGGCTGCCATCAAATAATAGATTTAAAAAAAAAATGGGATATACACACAGTGGAATATTACTCGGCCATAAAGAATGAAATTGTCATTCGCAAGAAAAGGAATGGGGGCTAGAGAGATGGCTTGGCAGTTAGAAGCACTGACTGCTCTTACAGAGGACCCTGGTTCGATTCCCAGCACCCACATGGTGGCTAACAACCATCTGTAACTCCAGTTCCAGGAGATCTGATGCCCTCTTCTGACCTCCACAGGCACTGTATGACACAGATGCACTTACGCACATGCAGGCAATACATTTATATACGTAAGATAAAAATATTTTTTTAAAAAAGAAAAGGGATGGATCTGGAGATCATAAATAAGACAAACACAGAAAAACAAATTTCTCCACTCTCGGCCTTAGAATTCCACGTAGTCCCCAGTCACCGCCATCAGGGCCCTGCCACCTGGAGGTCCCCACACTTCTGGTCTTCTTACCAAACTTTACCCTGTCTACTCAGCTTTCCCTGTCCTTCCTTTCTTATGTGAAACAGGCTTCCCTGAGACCTCTCCTTTCTTCAACTCCCAGATACCTAGCTTCCAAATCTCTGTACTTTTCCTTCTAAGAGTTTTCCAACTTCTCTTTCTTCCATTCACTCCACCCTACTAAGTATAACAACGCAAAAGCCACTTAACTAATCTGTCTGCACAGAGACTCCCATATGCATCGAGCCAACCACCCTCACCTCAGGTCTGCTTTCCGTCTTCAGAACAAACCACACCCGGTCTCTACCTCCCCGCTTCTCTTCTCCCTTGCACCTCTGCTTACACAGGGTCTCCTCACACAGGGTCTCCTCATTTCTTCTCTCCGGTGGCAAAGGGGGGTCAGGAATTCACATGACCCTCAACACAGGAGTCTCTTCATCCATGGCACCCCTGATTCCAGAGTGTCTGATAAGGACATGACACACTTCCTCGGTCCTTCTCTAACACACTGTCTGCCCCTTCATCAAATGATTGTGAGGTCCAGATACTGTATGTCTGTGAGATTCTTAAGGATACCAACTGTTCCATATTTCCACACAGCCCTAGGGCAAGCAAGGTGTCCACTAGACGCTAAGTACTTGCTCCTCAACTAACAATTCAGCTAACAACCTCAATTACACCTGCCTCCAAGCTCCCAATTTCTCATTACCTAAAGGCCAAAGACTAAATCCTTTTCATTATTTATATGTTTAATATAGAATATAAGGCATAGAGCTAAACTACCTGAAATACTCCTGGAGATCACAGCAGTTACACATGGTGGAGGGAGTTATGACTAGGAAGAGACACAGGAAAGAGGTGTTGGAGTTGGCAGTAAAGGCCAAAGTTTTGTTTTCTCACCTGGATGGTGGTGTAAAAGCATTTACCACCAAATAATTCATTAAGCTATAGGTTTGTTTCTTGTGACTTTTTTTTTTAATGATGTAATTATACCAGCCTAATTTAAAATAAACACAGGGCTAGAAAGATGGCTCAGCAGGTTAATGCACTTCCTACCAAGCCTGATGACCCGAGGTCAAACCCTAGAACCCTCAGGATGGAGAGAACTGACCGCTATAAATTCTCCTCTGACTGCCACATGTGCATATTTCAAAAATAAAACAACTAGCGTTAATTATGTGAACTCACCAAAGCAGAACTCAGCCTTTGGCCTCAGCTTAGTTGCATCACTAACCTAAAAAGAGAAGGAGATACGAGTTATTCACTTCTGAACACGCTACCATGACCAATCCCCAAATATTGTGTACCTTCCATGCACATGATTTCTCACTCAGCATAAAGATCTAAAATTAAAATTTTAAGGTAACTTAAAAGCTGGGTGTGGTAGAGGCAGGGGGCTCTCTGTGAGTTTCAGGCCAGCCAGGGCTGAACAGTGTGACTTTGCCCCAAATATATATATACACATACAAGTAAAATAAAAGCAACTTAAAAAGAACAGCAAATTAAATTTTGGATCTAGGTCCCAACTGTAATGTTTAAGTCAAATTATATTGCCCCATTTTCTTTGAATAAATCCCACTTTTTTTCTACAAAGGAAATGTGAAGAGGCTGAAAGGCACTGGTAGCTTTGTCAGATAGGGTTATGTAACATAATATTTTAAATGCCCTCTATGAATACAGACTCTAAGAATGTTCCAATACTCTGTATTTCTAAGTTAGCTGCAACTGTAAGTAAAAAACGGTAGTCTGTAAGCAGGATCCTGTTCATTTAAAGTCTAGATAGAACTCCAGAGGGCCTTAACCTGCTTTGAGAAATCAACAAGCTTTCAATCTCTGCATGTTCAGGGGATTGCTTCATTAAATGCACAAATAGGCTCATCTTATGACGTGAAGCCCACTGCACTGGATCACTTCTACTCCTTTGAGTAAGGAGCTCTCAGAAGCCCATTCGGGACCAGGACTATGCTGCCACCCAATGACAGCGCTCATCTGTGGCTTCTACTTTGAACCTTCTAAAGAACTCTAGTCTGGGGTTCCTGATAAATTCCAGTTACAAATTCACAGTTGAGTCACAATGAAGTTTGTTCTAGGAATAAATTCTGGGGGGAAATGGCATGTCTAAAGTGGAACAACAAAATTGTACAACTCAAACTACAGCAAGCTTGAGGCCAGAGATGCAAGTAACGAACCGCACAGAAGAGGTTCGTTCCAGCAAGGAGCAGTGGGGAAGCAGCAGCCTGACTCCTGCCTGCTTTACTGAGTTAATACTTCCAGAACAATCTCCATCTTATAAAAGACTGGGCAACAACTGAGGTCAGGCAGATGGGCAGGACCACATTCAGCTTACTCTAATAACATGGACCTTCCCACACTGCTTTGCCGACAGTGAGAAATGCTTGGCAGTGCAAGTGCACTGTGTTGTACATATGCTGTGGGGTTCCAGCAAAAGGAGGTCCGTCATTTCCAAGCAGAATGCTGCCTTTCCTGTAAAGTCTGCAGAGCTCGGCTCCAGCTGCCAGCTGTCCTGAAGAATTATTTAAATGTCTCAATTTATAGAAACACATAAGTTTCTATACATAGTTGTATGCAAGGTATACATTAGTCTTTTGAAAATGTACACAGTATGCCTTGAACAGAATGTTTCCCTTTACGTGAGCAATCTATATAATCTACAGGTCGATACACATACATCTGGTCAGTGACAATGAACACCTGTATGTGATCCTGGAAACAAAGCACCTCCCCGAGGACATGTGTCTCGGGACAGAGGCACATCTTCAAACTGGTGTTCTGTTCATGATCCACGTCTGCCACAAGACTGCATGCAGCACAGGCCAACAGTGCTACAGAGTATGTGGTTACCACCTGCATTGCACAGCTTAAGGTAGCAACAAACTTTCATGGCTTTTGTGTAAAATAGCTACCCAAACGAACAAACAGGGCTAGCACCTCCATGTTTCTATCTTAACTTTTCAAAACACTGATAAAAAAAAATAAAAAGGAAAGAGAAAAGAAAAAAATCTATTTGATCAATATAAAATCTATAGCTCTGAGGATTAAAATTCAGTACTGCAAAACACCAGAAAAACAAAAATCAATAATATATATATATTAAAAAACTTGCAGAGACAAAGTAAAAAGTAGAAAAGCCACTGGGCTTGGTGCCGCATGCCTTTAATCCCAGCACTCGGGAGGCGGATTTCTGTGAATTTGAGGCCAGACTGGTCTACAGAGCGAGTTCCAGGCAGCTGGAGCCACAGGGAGACCCTGTCTCAAAAAGACCAAAAAAAAAAAAAAAAAAAGAAGAAAAGCTCATCCTTTCAATATTAAGATGGTCCACATTTTCCCCAAAATAAAATATACAGGAGCTGCAGAGAGCTCAACAGTCAAGAGAACCAAACCCAAGTTTGGTTCCCAGCAACCATGGCATTACACACACCTTCAACTCCAGGGGATCTGACGTCCTCTTTTGGCTTCTGCAGGTACCCACATTCATGTACACATAACACACACACATGCACACGCACGCACGCACATGTAAGCAAACACATGTACATAAATAGATAAAATCTTAAAAAACAAAATTTCAAATGCCCCAGAACTTGAAGACAGAACTGCTAACTGCCATCTCTCCTATTTATTTATGTATTTGTTTCATTTTGAGACAGTGTCTTGCTAGGCAGCTAGCTCAGGCTGGCCTCAGACTTGCAAACCTCAGCTTCCCAGTGTTGGCTGGGATTACAGGTACACCACCATCCTTGGCAATTTCTTCCTCATCTAACATCCATGTACCTGACCAGGAAAGTCCAATGTCAGCTTCTGCAATCTGTACACCCTTAAGGTTTTTTTTTTT